TATTTCCTTTTACTTTCTTCTTGTCCCACTATCATGCTCAGCCTTCGTTTTGGTTTCAATAATTCCTCTTGGTTACATTGCCTTTGATCAAACCCTACAAGGCCTCTTACACCCTCCTTGCCAATGATGTATTGCATACTTTCCGCTTAGGTTGGTGGTTCTCCACCTTCCTAATGCCTCAACCCTTTAATACAGTTCCTCATGTTGTGGTGACCCCCCCAACCATAAAACTATTTTTGTTACTACTTCATAACTCTAATTTTGCTACTGTTATAAATCAGGCAACCCACAGGTTGAGAACTGCTGGCTTAGGGGAACACACTAGCAAATAATTTCTACCTTTCTTTCCCTTCAGGCTCTATAAGGAATTGGCATGGGAGATGGGTTTTGAAGAGTTCCACTTGTACCTGAGACCCGTTCATTTTGAGTTTGCATCACACAAGGAGAAGGTAGACCATCCACCCCCGGTCTTTATTACTTCTCTGCTGGAAGACAGTGACCGGGTAGACAGGTGAGCCTTGAGAGGGTCAAGGTCAAGTCAAACAATTTGTGACTGGTGAGACATAATTTCTGCCAGCAATGGACATACAAATAAAGTTGTATTTCTAACCCCCCCTCCTAAACTATGGTGTCAATTTTTAATTTTTCTTTCTCTTTATTTTGGTAAGGGGGGGAAAAAGAGGACTTCAGTCAAGGGAGGAATTGTATTAAGAAATGTTGAGTGATTGCAAAATGGAAGAACTTAATCAGGGCACTCAAATGAGAGGAAATGACAGACTGAGCTGCTGCCTAGACAGACCACATTGCTTTGGGTAGAGAGGGGGGTGAGAGTTGGCCTGATGACCTGTGACCAGGACACTTTCCCTGTGACCAGGAAGAAGTCACTGAAATTTTTTTTAGCATTTTTCCCCCTGAAAAACTATCAAGAAGTGTGCAAACCTAACATATGATTGCAATACTTCAATCAAGCTCTTAATATATAATCAGTCACAAAGCCAACTCCAGCCTTCTCTTTCAGGCCCTATAGGTTCAGCCCATTGGCTGAAAGAAGGTGGACTTACTAGTTACAGATCTTGAACATACTCCGAGTCTAGGGAAGGAATCTTTCCCCACACACACAGGCAGCCTGCAACGTAGGCCAGGAGAGACTTCTTGCCCTGCTCCCTCTTCTTTCTTTCTCTGCCTGCCCATCCCCACCAATGTCCCAGCTCTGCCCCAGGCTTGAAGATGCCATTCCAGGGACTGATTATTTCCCAGAAAGCCAAAAGGAATAACTGGGTGTTTTCGTTATAATGGATCACTGCTGGACGTACAGGTCTTCTGTGTTCATATGTTAAAGAACCTCCATGCGCAGAGAGCATGCAGTAGGATGAAAGAAGTTCACGAGGATGAGCGGTCCCGGGCTTCGCAGCTTCAGCCCTGTTGACACTGGGACCGGATCACCCGCTGTCAGAGCCTATCCTGTGCATCATGCAATGACCAGCAGTATCCTTGGCCTTGACCCACACTCTCAAACTCACTGCCATTGAGTCAGCTCTGAATCAGCAAGACCCTATAGGACAGAGTAGAACTGTCCCCTCTGGGTTTCCGAGACTGTAACTCTTTACAGGAGTAGAAAGCCTCTTCTTTCTCCTGTTTTACCCAGTAGATGCCCTTAATACCCCTTCCTTCCATTTCTGACCATCAAAAATGCCTCCAAACAGTGTCAAATATTCACGACGGGCAAAAACCTCTCCTACTCTATCCTGTCACATTAGCTAAAGCAAAAGGTGATTTAAACCACCCCTCAGGCGAGGCTAGCTCTCCACCCAGTGCAGCTGATAAAGTAGGCTGGAAGCAAGATGTCCCCTGGCTCTTCGAGGGCCCTGCTGGAGCTGGTATTCTATACTGCTGTGAAATAGAGTCCCTTTCTGTCCAGTTAGGGACAAAGGGCAGTGTCCGTTGGTGGAATCGTGACTGCAGAGGATATTGGAATGATTATTTGAGCCACAGGACCGAATGGAAGGGGAACAACATTGTGAGGATGGACAAAAGGATGCAAAGGGCCTCAGGAAGTGTCCATAAAAGGAAGAGGGAAATCAGCAGAGAGCGGTGTGTTGCTGATCAGGAGACTCCAAAGGCTGCGGGGGTCCAGCACACCCCAACTGCAGAGAGAGCGAGTCCAAGGGCTGGGAAGACCATAGACCCTTACAGTCACTGGCTTTGAGTATAGCGTCCAGGAGACAAGTTCTTTCTCTTGTCAATGGCCTTCCAGGTCCGGCCACCTGTCATCTTCAACTTCCCGTCTTGTCTTTCAGATATTCCCCTACTTCTCTTGTCTTAGCCATCTCTGAGGTGGATGATAATCAAGTGGGTAAATTTAGTTTTTATACAAAGGAAGCCATCCTCAGGGTAAGTAATTTTATCTCTTAAAAAAAATGGTTTTAAAACACTCAAGAAGTCGATTAAGCAATATACAAACGTGCTTCCTAAAAATAAGGATGATATTGAATCATATAAGCATCGCTCTCATGGATGAGAAGAGCTGCCAATGTTAGAAATACTGATCATGGTCTTGCATGATTTGATGTATTTGTTCACCATATGGTTGAAAGCACAGCAGCTGCAGCACCACTTTGTAGTAATGTCTGTTAGACAGTCCGCAGAAGCACGTGGTGCAAATCATCTTAGCACCGAGCTTTTTCAATATGTGCCCTGTTTTCTGGAGCTTTTATGTGAACTTTTTAATCTGGGTGCTGTTTCCCCCTTTGCTTTTAGGTGTGTGTGCGTGTATGTGCATGCGTGTATGTGTTGTTGTTATTGTTTATATATAATCTGATCCTGGCCATTTCATATGCCTGTAGCTGAGCATGTTTATTGGTTCATCAGAGCCTCCTGGTCCTTTCCTATTAGGGAGACCAGATGGTATCCGGAGAGTGAGCAAATTAGACCTGGAGGCTGACATGCTGCCCAGATCGGCTGGTGAGCAGCCAGGGACCTGAGCTGATCCTGTAGTTGGATTCCTACTGTATCCATGGTCGTCTCAAACTTGAATTCCACCCTTCCTTATGGAGGCATTCCTAATACCAGCTCTGTTTCCTTCTGTTAGCTCTTGCTCCATTCAGGAGTGGAAAACATGCAAGTGGCCCTTGCATGGCAAGCTGCTCAGAAAAATGCTTTGATGGTGGCTATCCAGCAGGCGTCCTTCTATCACGTCCCCCGCAGGGACTGTCCGGCCGGAGTCAAGGTCAGCCTGCATGACGGAGAAGTCTGAAGCGTGCTGTCACTGTGCTTGCCCGTGTCAGGTCGTCTCACTGCCCTGCTTCCTTGTCATCCCGGGTTCTGGTTTCAATTTCTTCTTCCCTTCCTTTCTAACATGAACTAAAGCACGGCCAAACTTTTATTGGGTGTCTTTTATTTTGTGACAGTTCCCTGACAATTTTTCATTTGTGGTACCTTTGTTAGGAGTCCTAGTAGGGGCAGAGGTTAAAGCACTCAGCTGTAAACGTGGAGAACCAAGGACTGGTAGTTGGAAACTACGGCCTTGGTGATGGAAACAACAAGGGGCTCACATGATAACCTGTTACAGGTCCATGACTTATTCACCACAAATACCTCTTTCAACACCACTCACTGCCATCCATTCGATGCCAACTCATAGCGACCCGATAGAGCAGGCTAGAACTGCCCCCGTGAGTTTCCGAGACTGTAACTCTCCATGGGGAGAGAAAGGCCCATCTTTCTCCCGAGGACATACTGGTGGTTTCCAAGTGTGGACCTTGCAGATCGCAGACCAATGTGTAACCACTATCCGCCACGGCTCCTTTTCAACAACCTGAACGGTGACAATGCGTGTGGAGCTTGCCAGATGGAGTACATAGGAACCCAATGCACTAAAGAGATGAAGAAGGAGCTTGATACCATCAGTTATAACAAGGCCAGGGGCCAATTGTAGACCAGACCATCAACAGCTCCTATTCAAGTTCAAGGTGATTAGCAAAGCAAGGCCCAGGGTGTTGTAAGCTGATGTTGGAGTTCACATGAGTAACAAAGGAAGGAAGAAAATCTGCATAAAAGTAGACACTAGTAGTTCCACCCTACGTTGTTCAAAGGAGTTTGTTGTCTCTAATCCACTGCATTTGTTCAAGGGTCAACTGTGTGTCTCCTACAAGCGTGAGACAGAAGAGGCGAGAAGAATCGAGAGGAGTCAGTGAAAGGGGACACGAGGAAGAAAGGGCGAAGAGACAGAGGCGAGGGAGAAAGAACACCAAAGCCAAAGCAGGAGGGTTCTTCAAGAAGGTGTGAATCTGGATCAAAGTCCTACACACTGAAGATCAACACTTTTATAACGTTCCTGGCAGAGAACACAGGGGCACAATTAGGAGATCTAGCTTTCAGCAGAAGTGACTTTCAAACACAACTAAAATCGCATAAGCAACAGAAGATAAATAAAATAACTGGGATTTCAAAAATTAAATATTTATACTCATCAAACAACTTTACCAGAAGAGTAAAAAATGAGCCTGCAGTCTGGGAAAGATCAGAGATGTAGGAAAAGACTCTAATCTCTATAATATACAGATAATTCCAACAACTTAGAAGCAAAAAGACAAGCAATCCGGTTTTTAAAATTGGCAAAGGACATGAACAGACACATATCACCAAAGAGGACAATGAGACAGCCAACAAATATATGAAGGGATGCTCGTGACCGTTAGCCATCAGGGAGATGCCAATCAAAACTACAACGAGAGGCCATCTCACCCCTGACAAAAATGGCACTGATAAGAAACAGCCAACAGAAAATAACAAATATGACCAAGGTTGTGGAAAGACTGGACTCCTGTATTCCTGGTGGGATTGTAATAGGGTACAGCAGCAACGGGCATGGGCATGATGCTTCGTCAAAAAGCCAGAAATGGAAAGACTTCGTGATCTAACAATCCCACTTCTAGGTATATATCCTAGAGACATAAGAAGCGTGACAAGAATGGATGTCTGCATGCCCACGTCCACTGCAGAATTATTCCCAATAGGAAAAACATGGAAACAATCTCAATGCCATCAATGAAGTAATGGTCAGACAAATCATGGTACATGCATCCAATGGATTACTGCAGAACTATAAAGAATAATGATGAGTCCATGAGTTACCATGTAACCCGGATGAATCTGGGGGACATTGTGCAGAGTGAAATAAGTCAGTTACCAAAGACAAATATTGGAGTGTCTAAATCTGATCTTAAAGCAGCAAGAATCCCAGAAGAATGCAGTACAGAGGACAGCGCTGAAGATGCAGCCTGGGAAGAGTGGCGCGTCTGGGCAGACCACATGGGGCAAACTAAGAGGGAAAGAGAGACAGCGAGAATGGACTGCCCCCTGGCCCACCAAGCCTCGAAGTTGACATTCCTGGTTGGAGTAGCCAATGCACAGAGAAGATCATGGGGCTGGTCCCATCATGAAATACGGCACCCACTCACTGACCCACAGTGCTATGGGGACAGCACTGCAGATGCAGTGTGGGAATTGTGCCCGGTATCACACACACACACACACACACACACACACACACCCACCACTGGAGTGAAGCATGAAGGGAGCGTAACAGCAGCAAGGGAGCAAATCAATGAAGTCCCTGAGGAATCCCGACAATAGACATCAGAATCAGTGGGCAGAGCTTGGCACTTCACCAGATCTTATTGGAAAACTTTCAGAAGGGTCAGCAGACAGACCTGGAACTATTTATAGGCCTTTCTTTTCTTTTTCCTTTTTCTCATGTCTATTCATATAAGCTAGGGGCAGGAAAACTCCAGGGAGACAAGGGAGAGGAAGAAGTGGGAGAAAGGGAGCGGGGAGCCAACAAATCCAGGGACAAGGGAAAATATAAGAGATCTAAAATTGATGGCAAGGAGGGCACAGAATTGCTGGTGGGGTTTGATCAAATGCAATGTAGCCGAGAGAAAGTACTGAGAGCTGAATAAAGGTTGAACATGATCGTGGGACAGGAGGAAAGTAAAAAGAAATAGAGGAAAGAAATAGAAGGCAAAAGACATTTATAGCAGTATAAATATAGGCATGCACTTATGTAAATATATTAATGTATAACGAAAGGCATATAGGTCTATGTACATATATTTAAATGTTAAGTATTAAGGTAGCAGATGGACATTGGGTCTCTACTCAAGTCCTCCATCAACTCAAGAACACTTTGTTCTAGTAACTTGGCATTCTGTGATGCCCACCTTCCCAACACAATTGCTGAAGTCAAAATGAGTGTATAAGCAAATGTGGTGAAGAAAGCTGATGGTGCCAGCTATTAAAAGATACAGAGTCTGGGGTCATAAAAGGCTAGAAGTTAAATATGTAGCCATCTAGCAAGGAAGTAACCAAACTCACATAACAGAAACATACCAGCCTGTGTGATCACGAGGTGTCAACTGGATCAGGTATCAGGCATCAGAAGACCCCAAACATACAATATATCAATGCAAACAATGGAGGTCAGAGTGGAGACCCAAAGCCCATCCATAGACAACTGGACATTCCCTCACAGAATGTTCACAAGGAAGGAATAAGTCAGCCAGGGTGCAGCACAGCACTGACAGAACACACAACATTCCTCTAGTTCTTTATTGCTTCCTTCCCCCCATTACCATGACCCTGGTTCTACCTTACAGATCTGGCTAGACCAGAGCATATGCACGGGTACAGATAAGAGCTTTCAACACACGGAATCCAGGACAGATAAACCCCTCAGGAACAGTACTGGGAGTATCGATACTATGAAGGTAGGGGAGTGGGGAGGAGAGAAAGGGGAACAATGGGGAACCAACTACCATGATTGACATATAACCTCACCCCCAACCAGGGGGACAAACAACAGAAATATGGCAAAGGGACACAGTGGATGGTGTATGGATTACGAGCTGTAAGAACCCCCAATAAAATGATTTATTAATAAAAAAAATGTTTAAGCCAAGAATGGGTAATCAAACAGAAAGGAATGTTCTTTGATTGTTCACAGGGATGAGAGGGGAGGGAGGCGGCATCACCGGCTCCATAGTAGACACCTGTTATTTCTAGTGATGAGAAAGCGAAGACCCCGTGTGAAGGAAGTCGGCACAACATGACTAAGGTGAAAGAAGAGATGGGCATGCACACAAGAACACAAGACAACGCCGACACTGTCATTTTGTACACACTATAGGTAACCACAGAAGGTATTGCTATGAAATAAAAAAGGGTTTTTTGCAACAAGTTCGCTGCCAGAATACAGCGGTGAAAACCATTTGGTGATAGCACAATGGAGTCTCTTGAGCCAGCCTACATCCAGAAGAGAGACGAAGAAATCGTTAAGGAAGTCAGCACCTACATTAAGACAATTGGCCACGACCCTGACACAGGAGCATCTGTGCCGATTTCTGGTTGGAATGGTGACAGCCTGCAGGAGTCAAGTGCTAATGTGCCCTGCTCGGTTCAAGGGGTGGAAGGTTACCCGTAGGATGGCAATGCAGTGGAACCACACCGCTTGGAGCTCTGGATTGCATCCTGCCACCAACCCACCCAACTGACAAGCCCCTGCGCCTACCTCTCTAGGTTGTCTACAAAACCTGGTGGTCTTGGCACCGTCTCTGTGGGCAGAGTGGAAACCAGGCTTCTGAAACCTGGCAGAGTGGTCACCTTTGCTCGGTCAACGTCCCCACTGGAGTGAACTCTGTAGAAATGCACCATGACACTTTGAGTGAAGCTCTGTCTGGGGACAATGTAGGCTTCAATGTCAAGAACATCTCTGTCAACAATGTTCGCCAGGGCAATGTGGCTGGTGACAGCAAAAATGATCCGCCGATGGAAGCAACTGGCTTCACTGCTCCAGGGATCGACTTGTACCGTCCAGGGCAAATCAGTGCTGGCTACACACTTGTGCTGGACTGTCACACTGCCCACGTTGCCTGCAAGTTTGCTGAGCTCAGAAGACTGGTCGCTGTTCTGGTAAGCAGCTGGAATCTGGTCCCAATTCTTGGAGTCTGGTGATGCTGCCATTGTTGACATGGTACCTGGCAAGCCCGTGTGTGGGGGAGCTTCTCTGACGATCCTCCTCTGGACGGTTTGGCTGTGTGAGACGTGAGACAGAGACCGTTGCTGTGGGTGTCATCAAGGCAGTGGACACAATGTCTGCTGGAGTTGGCAAGGCCACCAAGTCTGCTCAGAAGCCCAAATAAATATCACCCATCACACCTGTCGCCCCAGTCTCCATCCGTGGCAGAAGAACTGTTTGTCCCAATTGGCCATTTAAGTTTAATAGGAACAGACTGGTTAATGCTAACAATGCAGTGTAAAACCCTCAGAAGGAAAGGAATATTTTCTGGACCATGCTTCTTTTTTTGTGTTGTTAATAGTTTTTTTTAATCATTTTACTGGGGGCTCATACAACTCTTATCACAATCCATACATATATCAATTGTGTAAAGCACATTTGTACATTCGTTGCCCTCATCACTCTCAAAACATTTGCTCTCCACTTAAGCCCCTGGCATCAGCTCATTTTCCCCACTCCTTCCCTGCTTCCCCCTTCCTCATGAACCCTTGATAATTTATAAATTATTATTTTGTCATATCTTGCCCTATCCGACATCTCCCTTCACCCACTTTTCTGTTGTACAGGGAGGAGGTTATATGTAGATCCCTGTAATCGAGTTATTAGTTTTTAAAATCAGTACTTTTTAAATAGGAAAAAAACTTAACCAAAATTTTGTCACAGAATTTTGAGACCCATGAAAACAAAGTTTAGTGAGACAAAAAGCGAACACGTTATTTAACTTATTAAAACGTGCTGCTTTTGTGTCTCGGCCGCTCCTCCAGCTCAGTCTGTGCACTCCTGAAGGTGCTGTTGCCATTTCCCCCCGCCCCGCCTCCCCGACCTCTGCCACCACCCACGGCAACACAGCAGTTTGCACACCCGCCAGACGCTCAAATCGGATTCCTTTCCATGGTTTTTTTGTTTGTGAAACAAAAAAAGGTTGGATGGGACAAGATCAGAACTGTAGGGTGGCTGGAGTAAGGGTCTCCAAAAAATTCTTCGAGAACTATTGACTATGTGCAGCTACATGATGGGATAAAAATTCCTAGGTGCACCTTTCTTGGCCTTTTTCTTACCAAAGCAGTTGTCCATTTTCTTAAAATACCTCCCTAGTAGCACCTGTGCTCTTCCTGCATCTTGTACAAAAATCTATCAAGATTATCCCTTTGGGGGTGTCCCCCCCCCAGATAGTTACCCTAACTTTCAAAGCTGACCCCTCTGCCTCGAGTTTAACTGGTCCAGATGTCCTTGGATGCCACTTTTGATTGGACCTTCTTATGAAGGTTCCTCACGAGACTGAGACGAGTGGTTTACTGAGAGAACCTGTCTGCACCCATCCTCTGATGGCAGAGATGTGTGAACGTGTTCATCTGCAATAAACTCAGGCCGATGTGACTGGAACCCTATCAGCTATATAGTTTTACTTCCCATCCTCTCTTAGGTGGCATCCAAACCATGCGGTCACTGCCATCCCCGAGTGGGGCACCACTACCTACTTTCTACTTGGGTCAAAGTCCTATGTGTAAGGGATCTGGCTGCTATGTACACTTTGACATGTACATGCGATATGCATACTGTCCGCTGAAACAGAACCACTTAGAACTATTTGAAGCTCTGAAAAGACTCATTATACAGACCGGGAATGAGAATGCCAAGGATCTGGAACTACCAGACACTGCTGAGGAGAAGGTGAAATGTTACAAACACTTTAGAAAACAGTTGGGCAAATTCTTAAAAAATTAAACTAACACCTACTATGTGATTCAGCCATTCCACTTCTAGATACTTGCCCAAGAGAATGGGAAGCACATATTCAAACAAGGACTTACAGACACGTGCTGGTAGCACTTCATTCACCAAAGCCTCTTTATTCACAATAGCCCCAAACTGGAAACAATCCGGACTGAAGACCCCCGAATGGAAATAGGACTGCTTCCAGAACACGGGGCACCCCAGGGGTCTTCCGAAGAAATCAAATGGGAAGCCTTGAACTTTTTATCTATTTTTTTTCTCAATTTCCTTATTTCAACTTCAGTAATTCTGATATGGATATACGCTCCTTTATTAGAAGAAATTAGCTCTCTCTTTATTTGAAGAAATTAGTTCTCCCTTTGAAGCTGTAACTTCATTTTAGTTCATAGTTTAGAAGGAAAAAAAATAACAACCACTGAACAAGACTTCCACCCATCAGTGCCCTGCAATTCCCAAACCACAGGGTGATTGGAAGATGAGGACTTTTCTTCCTCACCGTCCCCCCATCTCCTCTCTCCTCCCCCATCTCACCTTCCTTCCATGTCGCCTCCCCTTTTCTCGCCCTCCTCCTTCATCATGGCGTTGCCATGGCAGCGTGGTAGCCCACCTCCATCTGTGTAGGCTGTGCCAGAATGGTGACCTTGAGCGAAATGTCTAGATCTTGCCATCATGAAGCCAATCAATGGTATCACTTGCGCGACCACTCTAAGTAGTCACCTTGTAGAATGGAGAATTTTTCTAAGAACACTAGGAAACCCTCTTCTGTACGTAGTCATGCGCAGTGCCTTACCCTGTCCTTTGCACAGTGGCTCTCCCCTCCCCCTCTCCTCCCTCTCCTCTCCCCCTCCTCTTAGCCACGAAGTGGTTGGCATTGGGGGGCTCGGCTGTGGCTGTGAGATCATTTTGGAGCCAAATACAGAAGACCTTATGCATCTAACCAATACAATTCCCTTTGTTTGAAAACATTTCAGGAAATAGGTTCCGATCTGAGACATCATGGTGGGATGGCTCCAACCAGAAGAAGATACTCCAGAATTGTGAATGGTACAGAGAGTTTGCCCTTAACCACAACGCCCAAAGTCCCAGGCTCCTTTGTGCATCCTCCAGAAAGACTCCAGACTATCAAAAGGTACGGGTGCTGAGGTCTTTAAGATAACAAGAGTCCTCTTCCAAGTCAGTGAATTACATTAGAGTTACGAGGTTAATGGATACAATATACTCCCACAATGACCAGCAGGTGTTTAGTGTGAAGACTTTGAACACTTCAGATGACTCAACTCCTTCTAATATGCTCTCGCCTCTGAAGGCGAGTCAGCTGTTTCTCATTTTAACTTCGTCTCTTTCCTCTTCTCCCTCGTATACATTTCAAACTTCCAAAAGGGTAGAACACAAGGAAGAAGGTTCACATGTCTCTGCAAATCCTTCATATCTTTCTCAAACTGAGAAACCCCAGAGCTTTCCCATTGCTTCGGATACCAGGATGCTGTCTTGTTAGAGAAGCTGACCGGAGGAGCCACGGCCTCTAGAGAGACATAGCTACACACTAGAGCTCTTCCGTTACGTCTTGATCTCACTGCACCATGACACAGAAAGAGAGACACGGATAATGGCAATATGGTATTTATGGTCTATATGGTCATTATGAATAATGAGTGTGTTATTGAAACATGCCAATGACACGCCGATATAATTTTGACAGTTTCGAGTAGAAAATAACAGACAAAGCTACTCCACAACTCCCACTCAAGGTACCATTTTTCTGAAACCTGCCCTAAGCCCACATCTCCAGCATGTGGATGGAAGATTTAAAACCCACGTGCCTCTGTGAAATGGCCCTTGGGAGTCCTTTTCAGCTCAGTGACCTGAGCCCAGGGTAGGAGGGCACAAAGGAGCCTGGCTCTGATGTTTGAAGGCCAAAGTTAGACTGCTGGTGGCTGCTTCCAGCCAGCGGGGGCTCCCTCAAGAGGAGGGAGACCTGTCAGTTTCCCCAGTGACCACCAGACATACGTCAAGCCAGTGAGAGCCGTGGAGACAGAGCCAGCTGTCCTCTTGTTACAATGCCCAGTACTTGGCCCAGGTCTCGCTGTCTTCTGGAAAGCTCTCAGAGTCTCTTTGTGTTGCCTCTCCACTTATCTCCCGCCTTGGGCTCAGATGTCTCTCTTCACCTGCCAGGGCTCCGGAGGCATTCGTGTCCATTCAGCTAGAAAAGGTGGGGCTGCGGGACATGATGCTGAACGACTTTCTCCTCAGGAAGCAAACCATGGCCGACAGGATGCAGCACCCCGTGAGTGTGCCGCCAGGAGAGCCCCCCAAAGCTCTCGTCTCTTCCATGTCTGAAAGTACAGACATTCTTGACTTGCAATTTGTTGCTTTTAGTCTATTTAGATAGGACTATTGCAGACATTTCAGAAAGAATTGAAAAGGGATGTTCAGTAAAAAATAGAAAGGGACTGTTTCAAGCTAATAGCGGTCTAATTGGTGGTTATTGTTGGTGGTGGTGGTTTACGTGTGCATTGCCCCAAGGCTCCCTCTTGGTTTGTCATTTTCTAAACCAAGCTGTTTTAGCGCCTCCACTAGGGACCTCCCCTGAGCGATATAGAGTGAGGAAGGGCTCTTACCATCTAGTTGTCTGTTGTCTCAATGCTTAAGACAAATTTCTATGGAAAGGTTTTATAATAGCCTAATCTGCTGAAAATAACAGACAAAGCTCAAACTTTGAAGCAGGTGGAATTGTGTGAACATCATTTTACTATTCATTACTCTTTTGATGAGGAAAGCATTCAACAAATACACAGTTATTTGGGAGAAAAACAACAAGGGTTTCCATCGCCGGGCATTGTCTCAAATAGACGAGTCTTCCCTAGGATAGCATTCACCCAGTGCAGCCCTGCAAATGGGAGAGGCTGGAGGCCAGCCTTCCTGAGTGCTCCTCAGTGAGCCTGGAGGCAAAGGACACATCTAATGAGCAGCTCTCAGAAAAGAGTCACTAAGAGAAAAAGGCAAGGTCCTGTCCACTGCCCTTCAGGATTATCCAGGGACTGTCAGAACTCAGTGCTGTCATGGTTGGGGATTTTGCCTTGCTTACGAGCTAATAGGCTAGCCTGTTCTTCTGCCATGGATGCTAGTAGAATGCCTGAACTTCCTGTGTCAGGATCCAGGACTTAACGACTCATGGCAGACGGGGTACCACGAGCTTTGTCTTTGTGTCCTTTCCCTTGGCTTCCCCCAGATGATTTGACGCCGAGGCCCCCAGGGCGTTTGTGTCACAGCTGGGAACATGGAGTATGAGACATCCACCTCTTTCTTAGCAAGCCTGCTCTGTTTTCCCAGAGGGAGGTCTTGTCTTGCTCATTGTGGACAGCCCAGAGAAATGGTCCCGGTCGAGAAAGGTCTTGCTTTCTCAATGAATTCAGCAGAATGTTTAGAAGGGAAAGAGTTCAATAGGGAAATGTGTCTCCATGTAACATGTCTCGATTATCTGGCTTTTCTCTACTCGGAGTCTGCTCACATGTACTGGGATGGGTACTTTCTTATATTAGACTATCATTATATAAGAACTATCATTTTCTTTTATCCCAGGATGAAATTATGAAAGCCAAGAGAGATGTTATCATTGAATATTGTCAAAAGTAAGTATAGTAATGTGTTAGCAATAGATTTTGATTTCTCTGGCTCTAAATTAGTATTACAGACATGCATATTTAATATAAACAAGGAATTTAATGTGACCTGATGAATTCAATATGTGATAGATAGAAATCCAGTCCATGGCTGGGGCACTTCGTGTTCAAATCAGCCACCGGTTGCCATGGAATTGACTCTAAGTCAGGGCTTCCTCATGGTGTCAAAAGAGAACTGCTCCATGGGGATTTTTAATGGCTGATTTTTTGGAAGTGGATCACCAGGTTTTTCTTCTGAGGTGTTTCTGGGTAAACTCAGACCACCCACCAGGGCTTCAAACTGGTTCATTCTGGCTTCAAACCAGCCTAGATACACAGAATCAGAGCCTACTTTTAAAAAGGACCCCAGGTGACTCTTTTGTATGCTTCCAATCTTTCAACTAGCAGTGGACTGCGTTAACTGTTTGTACCACCACACCAAACTCAAACCCACTGCCCTAGAATCGATTCCAACTCAGGGACACCTTATATGGCATTTCTGATACTGTGACGCTCAGTGGAATCAGATGGTCTCATCTTTCTCCCAGGGAGCAACTAGTGGGTTTGAATTTCCGACCTTGAGGTTAGCAGCCCAACATCAAACGCACAGAGCCACCAAAGCCCCTTTTTGCTCCAAGACAGATTCCAACTAGGCCACCACCCTATTGAGTACAACCAGATCCAACTGATCCGCAGGGGCACATCGGAAGACAAGGGGTCCATGCCTCTGCCTTCCGGCAATAGGGACGACGGGACCCAGATGGAAATTCCTCCTTGACAGAGGGGCTGGGTTGTCTTTTCAAAGTCTTCCAGGGAACTAGGTCCTGAACTTGGTGAGTGTGGAACCACGTGCACTCCCCTTTGGAAGTCGCTGTTTTCTTTTGATATTTTAGGTTTCACCAGCACATGTCCCACTACGCTCTCCGAGGCCAGATCATGGCGTACTCCAACAGCCTGCGAGCCCTGCTGGAAGAGTTCCCTACCATCAGGAATACCTTTTTCATGGTAGGACAACCACAAGAAAAGAAGGGGCCGCGGGATTCCAAGGAAGGCCTCAAGCCTGACTTCAGGTGCGTCCTTTCAGGTAGAGCACTTTGTTTCCCACCCAATCCACCCAGAGGAGTGTTGGGCTGGGTGCAGAATCCCTCCTCCCTTCGCTACACCTTAGCACAGTGGTTCTCAACCTGCCTAGTGCTGCGACCCTTTCATACAGTTCCTCATGTGGTGGTGACCCCCAACCATAAAATTAATTTTTGTTGCTACTTCATAACTGTAATATTGCTACTGATATGAATCATAATGTAAATATCTGATATGCAGGATGTGTTTTCATTGTTACAGATTGAACATAAGTAAAGCATAGTGATTAATCGCAAAAACAATATGCAATTATATATTGTGAAATCTTTATTTCTAATGACAAATAAATGAAACTTTGTCTTGAAGCATGGTGTAGCATGGTAACAGTCTTCATATAACAACAGTAAACTACATTGCTACATTTTGGGACAGTGTGCATAAAAAGCCAACATCAGTGTGAAAGTTGAGATAGCTTCTTTCTCTCCAGATCAGCATATCTGCATGTGGGTGGACCTGTCTGGAGACAGATAGAGGAGCTGGAGACAGATAGAGGAGCGGTGTCTCGGTTCCTAAGACCATATAGAAATAGGTGTTTTCCAATGGTCTTAGGTGACCCCTGTGAAAGGTTCGTTCGACCCATAAAGAGGTCATAACTCACAGGTTGAGAACCGCAGCCTTAAGTCTTTGAGTCCAGGAAGGCAAAAGAAGGAGTGAACATCTTTGTAAGCAAGAGCATCTTTGTATCTGAACCCAAGAGGTCTTTGTGTACGGGCTGGTTGGCTGCTTTTTCAATCCCTTTAGTCATGCTCTCTCCTGGTGAGCCCAGAGATTTGTATCAATCACACCCTTTTATATAAGCCAGCATCTAAAATATTTATGTAAACTTGATCTTGATCTGCCCTGGCCTCAAATAGGCTGTTCAATGATGTTGAGAAAATATTCAGAAAACCAACCAACCAATGATAAACCAGTGCGTTTGAGGAAATCAGTGCCTCTGTGTGTTCTGATGGTGCAGGGAATGATTTTGCTGTGAGATGAAATCACTTGGGATGGCTCTTCTAGCCACAGTCTTTGTGAGTCCCACCAAATACCTGAGTAGAAGTATGCAAATAAGGTGTAGAGGGAGCCATCTCAGAAGCAGGAAGATAAGCCCCACAACCATCAAGAAAGAAGAGTCACCAATGGCAAGATCCTTGCGTGAAGTGGTGATGACCCAGTGTAAAGTCGTAGTGGCAACAGAGGCACCAGAGACCACAACATCAAGACCATGGGGCAGAGCAGTGGTTGACCCAGTCCACAGAACTGGAGCTCAATGTCTTTGGGCAGGAGGTTGATTTGCCATGGGGTGCCCTTTGGTCATTGATCCGTGCTAAAGGGTCTTTGTAACATTTGCCCGAGCAGGGCAAAAGCCAAGGGAGCACTTGGCTGAGAGGCTGAGGACCAGAGAGATGCGCCTGCTGGCATGGCTGAGAAGAGGGGCAGTGGACAAAAGAACTACATCCTTCATGTTTTCTGATCCTGACTTCATGTAAC